TAACAGTACAATATAAGAATAACCTGCACAAATCAATTGCAATTAGATTAACTCAAAAGATCAGTACGAGACACACAAAAAAACTTACATTAAGACAATAGACACAAAGCACCGAAATAGGAGTATTTGCAATTACTGGAAGTTTGTTCAAAGCTAATTGCAACTATAGAACTGAAATAAATCTTGTTCTCCCAGACTGAAGTATCAATCAGTACACAACCAACGGATTTAGTCATAAACAGTCTGAGAAACGCCGTGACCTTTTATACCTAATGGTGGTCCGAAGGTTATGACCATCAAAATTTTGCAAAAGAAATAATTGTTAGAACCAGCAGATTTTCCTCAAGGACCACCAGGGAAAAAAATTATGAGAACTCGTTGATATCTTTGCTATATACAAAAATAATCCAGTTTGGTTACTTAAAAAAAAAATGATAGACAAGATTTATTAAAAAAAAAGAAGAAAAACAGTCTGAGAAATGTCTGGTATACATTGTATACTTGCATATAGATCCATATACAATGAAAATTTTTTAAAAGTGGTGGTCCGAAGGTTTTGACCATCGAAATTATGCAATAGAAATAATAGTTAGGACCAGAAGATTTTCTTCAAGGACCACCAGAGAAAAATGATATTGAGAACTTTCCGATATCTTTGCATTATACAAAAATAATCCAGTTTGGTTACTTTAAAAAATTGGATAGACAAGATGTCCTTTTTGATCATATTCGAGACAAACATTGACGAATTTTTGTGCAGTTTAAGATTATTCTTAAAATTCGAGTAGTGGGTGTTTACGCCTGATTTGTCTAGCAAAATTGAGTTAGAGGAAAGAACAAAGAAAAATGTCACGAACAGAGCACACTTTTACAGTCATGTCTACCGGACGTATATTAATTTTCTATAAACTTCATTTAATATGTCATCCAACATAACAAAAATCTGCTATATTCGACGGCAAATTGATTTTTTGTTTTATTGATCTTCCGTAGAATATCTCCAGAAGAGGTCCAGATTCATTTTTTTGGACTCTTCACCAGAAGACATTCTGGAGATGTGCAGAAGAGACCAATAAAACACGCCCCTACATACACCTCTAAAATCACCTGTTACATTTAAAACTACCAAAGGGAAGGTAATACTCTAGGGGACTATAAGTCCAACAGCAGAAGTATCAAATAAATGTTTCATTTTTTTTTGCATTAAAATTATATTCCATCTATTACATATTAGGCATTTCACAAGAACTTCCTATACAGTCACTAATATTAGAAGAAAACTGGAGAATGCAAAAGGGACATTCAAACTAATAAGTCGATGACAAACTGACAAGGCCATGGCAGTAACGAAAAACGACCAAAAGACAAACAACAGTTTACAAAACACAACAAATAAAACCTGAAGTGTAGTTCGACAAACAAACCAAATAATGCTAAGGATAAGCGCTTCTGAGCATTATTTGATTTGGTATTGTTACTCACTTTGGTTTTCCTGTATTGACTTTTCTGGTATATTCTTTACTGATTCTTATGTTATTCTTAAAAAAAAATAATAAAAGAGCGTGTGTGTGTGTGTGTGTGTGTGGGTGGGGGGGAACAAAACCAAAAACCAAAATAATATATGTACATTTGAAAAATAACATAATCCTTATCGATTTTCTGTTATTGATAGCAGATCTTTTATAGCCTCTTTTTCATGTCTTTTTCAACTTTTTTCAGACAAAGGGGGATTTAGAGCTTGATATATTAATAACACTTGTTTATTGTTATTGACCTCAAGATGTTCATTGTTTTTTTGTGTTGATAGATTATTGTCTCATTGACTCATACCCAACATAGTCAATTTTTTTTAGAGCACCAGTTTTAAACTAATAATAGCAAAGGCTTATAACCAACAAATAATTTATTTGTTTGTGACCAAAAATAAGACAAATGTAAGATTTGAAAAACAAGAATATGTGTCCATCGGATATCTTGCCAAGCTCACACTATACTGGATCTCATCTATGTTCAGTGAACTATAATATCAGGTTCAAAATTGTAATTTGACATCTAACTTCAAAATTTCCTATCATAATGAACATTTGTAATTAGTTTCAAGTTGATGGGACCACACCTTCATGGTTAACTTCCTTAACTCTAAAACTTGACATGGGACAGACAAAAAAAACAAAAACAGAGACACAGACCAGAAAACATAACACCCTCCACTATCCTAGGCAGGGCATAGAAAATAGTATTCAAAATATTTTGCAACAAGATGTCTTATGCAAAGACATTTATGTGAATAAACATTTTTCTTTGGTGAGGTACTGACTTATCTCTAATTTGGCCACATAATATATGTAAAATGGCCACTTTAATCAAATATGTCATTACAACATTAATGATGTCATAGTGACCTTACAACTAACAATTATTTGTTTAAGGTGTCCAGATTATATCCTCCTGTTCATTAATGAATAGAACTGATATAATTTTAAAAGGGTTATCTACTTTTTTGAATTTCCAGTTTAAAGTTGAAGGGATTTGACAGATGATGGCTCTTATCACATCTTCTCCTTTTCAAAAGGATAAAAATAGGCAGATAATTTGAAATGATTGAGTTTGTATATATTTAATAAATAAAACAAATATCAGTCAATATCACATTATTTATACAATTATAAAATGCTGATTTTCATTAAACTACAGAAAAATATAGTAATATTTACAATATCATTTTCCAGGAATATGCTGTAACAAGAATTAGTTTTGCACTGGAAGTGATTCCAATACTTTAATGTTTTTTTAGTTAATCATATACAAATGCCTATGCATTTTCAATATCTGAATTTTGAAAAAGTTTTTAGAGATTAGATTGAAAGGAAAACTAAATTAAATTACATCTGAATGCGTTCAGACTTTTTTAATTCTGTTTATGACTATGTTGACTTAGTCACAATTATTTCTACAAAATCTGTTCAAACTCCATTCTTTTCTAAATCTACTTTTATTTCCGAAAGAGTAAAAGTGAATCCCATTCTTAAGTAAGATTGGAGCTGATTGACACAAACATATATGGAGACCACCATTCTGGGTATCTTGCTCAGCCATGCTATTCTTTCTTTCAATTTGGAAACAGTCAAATAAATTTAGAATTCTTTCCCCCCCCCTTTAAAATTGATAACATATCTTATATTCCTTAAATATTAAAACTTGTTCTTGAAAAGAAAAATGTTTTTTTTTTATATTTCCTACACACATCAGAATAAAATTCTTTCTCGTAAATCCAAGAATATTGATTTTGTCAGGGGGCGTGATTTCTTCCGGAGAGATAATTCAGCTTGATTTTTTTGTAAATCAAACACTATTTTGTTGAAACAACAAGAAAACAACAATAGTGATAGCTACTACATGTATTCTACCTATTTCCTAAAAGAAGTGTTCTAAAAAAACAAAACAGTTTTTATGGGTAAATTTTTGCTTACTTCTCCAAACCCTGGTAATCTATATAAAATCATTTTTGTTCCAAAATGATGTCACACAATATATTTGAATATTTCTGGATATGGTACATATACAGATATATAAAATTCATGTTCAATTTCAAATAAAAAATTAAAACCCAGTTTATACCAAACTAAAGAGCCTAAAAACAGAAGAACAAGTATTTTTTTTTTATTTCGGTAAGATTTTTTTTTTTTTATACATATAAAATATAAACATCAATAACATCTTAAAGTACTAGAATGCATACTGACCTATATACTATAGCAGCAAATCAATACAGATAATTGAAAAATGCAGAAGCTATACAAAACAACTTTTAAAATTCATATTGAGATAAGCAGACACTTATATTTACATGTAACCAGGAATAATATCAGTAATGCTAATATTTAAGTCATAATCGACTAATTCTTGCATTTTTTTTTTATTAAAACAAACAAAAATAAACAATGTCTTAGAAGCTAAATATTAGCCTAACCTTTCAGCCTTCCATGTAAATATCAAAATCTATACAAATAAATTGCACATAAGATAATTAGTTTCTCAGCAGTTAATAATTTGACACAACATTTATTTTAAATCTCATAGAACCAGTTTGGCATAATCATATTAAAAAAAAATATAATGTTAAATCACAGCAGAATCTGAAGTCAAAATCACAGCAATATTTGGCAAACTTAGTTATCCAAAAACAACAATCACCATGAAAAAATATAATGAAAAACAAAAATACTTAAAATAGTAATGTATATATATTTCTATCAATAATACAATATTTATTGAACAAAACTGTATCCAAAAATTAAAATAACAAAAAATTCCCCCAAAATGTACATTGTCATAGAAAAAAACATGAAAATGAGTTAAAATCCGCAATACTATAGAGCCACTCAATTGGCCATTTAAGTACAACAGCCATTTTTAATTTTTCAATGAATATTCAATACAGAGATCATTCTGAGATGAATATATATGTTGTTAACTGTGAAGATGAATTATTGAAGATGAACTGCATAATTTTATAATTCAGCATCCTTCACAAAAAAAAGGGTTTCAGATCTTAAATAATCATGTTACCTGTGAAATTTTAGCTGATGGTGTAAAATTAACTGTTTTTTAACTAGACACAGCTAAATACATCATGGTTAAAAATATCATATATATATATATATATATATATATATATCTGCTAAGAATTATTTTGGAAAATAAAACGCTTAACAAAGAAAAAAAATTAAATGAAAAATGAAACTCAAGTTACAATGATTAATAGAATTTAGAACTGAGGATAAAAACCATCTTTGCCTGGAAGTTTTACAACATTCCACGATGAGGAAAGCATAGCTATACTAACGGACTTGGACATATTAAAAACTTAACAATATCACAGCAATAAATCAAATAACAATATTTTGAAGAAAAAATAATAATAGTAATGACATAAAAACTAATGTGCATTTGTAAACACATGTTTCATATAAACCATGTATGCTTACTTTTTTCTCTTGGGGCAAATGTTACGTCATATTTTAAAGTATGTTCAACAAAACAATTCACACTGATAATTTAATGCTTTGAAATAGTTTCAATAAGTTTTACGGTTTCTGAAATTTTGACTTAAAATCCATAAAACTCAATTCCCCAAAACAGCATATCAATTACTAATGACTAACCATTATGCAATTTTATACTAAAGGTTTAAATCAGACATGCACATTTAACAAAGAAATCATCATTTGCTGCCATCCATCTAATAACCTGAGTTCTCATCACACATCATTCATACATGAAGGAAAGGCAGTGATCTGTATGTAATTTCCTCCTATATCTTGAGTGGTGCAGGAATAGAATTTTTTTCTACTGAATGTTCTATATAACTCCATGTTGAGTAATGTTTTGTAGTCTTGCACAAACATCTGGGTCATATTCATAAGACTGAAAAAATAAGAAAATAATGTTCAACAAAATTTTAAACACTTTACAATATTCAATTCTCTAATTATGTGTGCATTTAAAGCAGTTCTGGCCATGCAATCTGACAAGTTTTGACCTGTGTTTATAAACTTAGACCAAGACTTGTCCCCAGCACCATAGTTGACATTAAAACAAATGTCAAGTCTCAGTGGTGACTGTTTTACTGTAAAATATGTGTACATGAACTTTATTTTCAAAGAGAATCCTTTTCTTTCTTACCGAAATTTTTCAGAAATGTGCTGCTATTGAATTATTGTCTTCCGGTACTCCGATAATTTGCCGATAGCTTTTTCGTATGCAGTGACCTTAACCACAAGACCTTAATGATAGGACTTCTGCAACCACACAGTGCAAATGCGCGGGAAAAACCATGATTGAAAGAATGTAAACAAATGTGCACTGGAGGTTTAATAGATTCTGAATGAACAATTTTATATACCAAATCATGGAAAAATTATTACGACAATGTTTAATTTAGAAATAGTAATGTTAGGGCAATTATAAAAAAATATAAATATTGCATGTCTATCCTCTCATTTATTTTAACCAGGACTCTGTGTTGACTGTTTATCAAGGTTACGTTCATTAAACTAAAATCAACAATATAAAAATATAGCAAAATATTATTTCATTAGTACAATACCTACTTTTGAGTAATACTTTTGAGCATCTGCAGGTTCTTTCTTGACGCCATGTCCTTCATGTAAACACCGAGCATAGTAAAAACAACCCAAAGCAATGCCCTTAGAAATATAACCAGGTAGACAGCCAGTTTCATTGGCAAGTAATGGAACATCGTGGAACTGAGCTACTCTATAAAAAATAATAGTCTTAATCATAATATTTAACTTCAGGAAAAATTAAAATAAATTAATCAACATAGTTCAAAACTAACATAATTTGATATCATAAATTGTTTACACAGAGATATGTTTTATCTTTATGACCTAATCACAACCGTAAACAATTGTAGACCGTAGTAATGATGAAAAAGTGAATACCCTTTATTATGGTTCAAGGCTGCCCTACTTATTCTCTTACTGCTAAATGGTTAATGATGAAGCAGCAAATACAATCTTTAAACTCCTTAATCTTTATGTAATTTCAACAAAAAGAAAAATCTTTATAATTGTAAATTTGCATTAATTGAAGTTGTCAACAACAAAAAATCTTTTTTTTTTGGTTTGTTGATAAGATATTTCATAGATACATTCAAATATAAAAAAAATAAAGGGTATTGGTGCTGTTTCAATTCCAGAAACATCATTTTTTTTTATAAATATTTACCGAATTCAGGCTTGTATAGTCCACGGTTTTATTTTCAAAATTGAACCTGCCAGACAGGAGTGCGGACTATAGAGTACGATAAGCAAGAAATAAGAGAAAAAAATTGTGAGGTTTGTTAACGTTCTGCCATGTTTGTTATTGAAATTGTAGAGGGCGCTCTTATCATTTTGAAAACTAATAATTTTATCTAATCCATATTAATATGTAATTTTTATTCAAAATCAAATATAAACTGTTAAATTTCAAAATTAAATGCTTCACTACAAATTTATAGTTTCTTTCCACTGCATTGCTTAAAATAAACTGGAATCTGCTTGAATTTAACAGAACAAAAAAAGTGTACAAGTCAACCGGGAACCAGCTTATGCATAACGATGTTTAAACTACAAAACGTAATCAGTTATTCATTCCGTTTTGTGTTTTGTTTTAGCTTAAGATCCTTCAAACATTAATGTGATAGATATGTTAAACATTATTTTACTCAAGGATGGACATGTTTTACTTTCAAAGTCGTATTCTAGTGATATCTATTAAGTACGGATTTTCCGTACACTCTCACGGTATTTATTTTCATTTACAAGTGCTATTCGAACTTCCGGTTTAAACACACACAAGTTTCTAAATTGGTTTTTTTTGTGATTTTGACTTATTTTAACACTCGTGAAGGGTTCTAGAATCATTTACAAGCATTTTCAACTTCTATTTGATGATGGAAAACGGGTTTTTCCATGAAAATACCGCAAACGATCACATACGATTTGAAATTACCATAGTTTCATTAGACGTTTTCTGACAGTTACAAAAGGTTTTTACCTAAATTCTCGTGGCGAGAAGTGGGGTGCGGACAATGTACCAGTGCGAACTATACAAGGCCGATTACAGTATAAAGAATAGATAGTGAAATTTCTTTTTAATTACAGATTTTTATTATGAATATAAAGATATTTTATTTGGTCTATATTTATTTGAAATCTGGAATACTTTGGCCATATAGATATGCCATACTAAAATCCTAAAATATTTGGGAATAATTGTACTATGTGCCTTGCTCTTTCCAAATATTCAATGATTTATATATATTTTATTGTAAAATTGAATAGAGGTTTATTGAAGTTGAAGTTTTGAAAGCTGATTTTTTTTTATAAAGTGATTAACATATCAATGTCCAACAAAATTTCAACTGTAACCTTTCATCCCCAAAAGATATTAATAAGTCTAACTGAACCTTTATGCATAACTAACCTTGAAGCCAAATCCGCAGCTTTGGTATATAGTTTTCTCCTGTAATAATGACCGACTAGATTTCCCATGGCGTACACATTTCCACGGTCGGAGGCTTCCTTCAAACAAACATATGCTGAATCCATGTCTTGTTTTACACCAATTCCAAATTCATACATTATCCCTAAACAACCTAGAATATAAAAACAATGTGTTTATAAAATCTGCATCGACTTTAAAAGATCAAAATTTAACAAAAAACTCAAGATTCAAATTAGATTATCCTCTTGATTTTTAATGCATTACTCATACAAAGAAAACACAGATTTAAGTCATAACTTGTTTGCACATTAAGACCCTGATTTTTCGTAAAAATTTATCACTTGCTAAAATTTGAAATTTAGTTAGTTTTTGCAACTGTAACTGAACCAAAAATTAGAAAAAATATTCTTATGGTTATGGCCTGTTATTAATTTCCTGCATGAAAGAATATTTCTTGTATCACATCGACATGGGTGATATGGATAAGTGAAACAAAAATGTGTTAATTTGGTAGTCTTATCCTGCAATGTGTTACGAAATTGCAAGGATTTCCATTGGGTATTTTTTAACATCTATGATGACCATCAAAGATCACAATGGACCCTTGACAACAATTATTTGTGATTTGTGAATGATATACAAAACATTCACATGTTTTACCTGAAAATATAATTTGGTCAAATTTGAATCCAATCTAAAGTGACAAAATAGAAAATGTCTGATTAAAAAGTAGGCTGGGTTCCTGACACAATATTCTTACTACCTTAAAGGGAAACTCCGCAAAAAAATGAAAAATTGATATTTTGTTCTTTAAGCATAAAAAACCACATGTTCATGGATAAAAAACTTTTATTCTCTATGTAAAGAGATCAAAACCGATTTTTGAAATTCACTATCAGTTCTCGACATATCGCCATCTTGTCGGCATGTTCGATCTAAAAAGTCACGTGATATCTATAAACTACAAAGAACAAAAAGAATCGGGGATTTACCGACCGTGCGTTAAAAACTCCCATCATCAATTGGGGATTACCGTAGACAGTTATTCAGTGTCAAAATGTCAAAATGTCTTGTCAAGCATACGGTTGTTATGTCAGACAAGGTTATGACAAAAGTCTACATAGTTTTCCCAATCCCACAAAAAAAGAAAGAATTGTATCAGACATGGTTGTACAACCTTAAACTAACAGCAAATAGTTGCATCTATAGCAAGCACAAGTTGGTGTGTGTTTTGTCATGATTCTGGACCATATTTTTGAGAAAAAAAAATTCTTCATGCAAATACAAGCTTTTGTCGATTGGCAAACATGCAGATATATAAAGTAATGCAGCACTTATAGTCACTATCAATATTAATTCATTGAAGATAAGAGAGCCCCTTCTTTGTCTAATGTCCCTATCTTTATAAGGATTAGGACGACAGGGGAAAAAGGAGCGGAGATAGAGTGGCATAGTGAAAAAAAATAACAGAATAGAGAACAATATAGAGAATGATCGACGAAAAGCGAAATAGTTATTGTAAAAGAGCGGAGATAAAGAGAGGCATAGTGAAAAAAAATGTTTGCTTGACAAAGTTATTGCTCGCTTTGATATTTTTAGTTATTCAAAATCACACATCGTGTTCCTTATTGGTATTCACGTGCACTAACTTGATGCTGGGAACAGTATATTAATATATATGTTCCTGCCTGATGTATTAAGTTTCTGCATAGCATGGTTAAAATAATTAGTATCCCATTTGTTATATCGTAGTGTGTTAAATTTATTTAGTTTGTTAATGATTGTGTAAATAAGAATAAATCTGTATAAAAACTTCATACCATTTTAGTGATTGCCTATAGGCGTTTGATTATTGTTACATTTAAGATATATATATATATTTAGAGTCTTTCATACATCTTAAAGTAAAAGATGTGTGTCTGAGTTAAACGACACAAGAACCCTGTAATACTAGATCGAGAGTAAAGCATGTAAAAATTTCTACTCAATATGGTTGTATTGGAAATCTTTTCATACTGACTGACAACTAATGGTCCGACATGCATGTAATATTTGCCACATGACGCTCATAGTTCTTTCTACCATCATCATCTTATTCATTAAATATTGCTGTAAACATCGATGGTTCACACCCAAACAAAATGGGAGTAATATACCTTCAGATCTTCTCCGTGGTATACACTTGTGAAATATATAGACGAAATTCGGTATTGAAGTGAATCTACATCTCACAAACACAATTTTTGAATTACGATTTTGAGTGAACACCCACCAAACCAAAACGAACGTATGGCAAGATATAACCATGCAGGCATTTAGTTTTCGACAGACACAAGATAAATAATCACTCTCATAAACATATATATGCATGCAGTTTCAAATATCAAAGAACAAGCGGTCGATGTCTATAGATCATTGTTAAGTCCGTTTACTAACTGTTCAGAGTCAGGCATGTCAATAGTTCATTCTTGGAACCTTCATATACCCCACTCGACGATGGGAACTTTTTCTGATAGTGTTGACAACATAAGCTTGTTTATCTGTACAAGTGGTTGCATGGCCTCTCCTGCCCCAACAAACAAATACGCAACTAGTCTGCTATCTCTGGAGCTCATCCTCAATGGCGCTTATACGTCAGGAAACTTACAAGTATACTAGTAAAGATTGTTTCAAGAACAACGAGGTTGGGACGAACTGTTCTAAAATCGTCAATATCAGTAATACATTACTAAGATATGCCTTTAATTACAACAACTGTATTACTAATTTGGATTAATGACGGCTATCCTAAAAAAAATCCTCAAACAAATTAATGTATTAGCTTAGATTTATAATGTATGTATATATTCATTAATGAAATAAACGATAATTGGTATTCTTTTCACAAACAATTTGTCTAAGTGATTGTCAAATGAATTTAATTATGTAAGAATGAAATGTTAATAAGAAAATTTAAAAAAATCATGCATGTTGTACTGTTGTATTTTTTCAATTAAAAACTTTAAAATTGCGATAGTTTTACGATTGTTAGCATTTAAACATCGCCAGATTTAAATACAAGTTAAAGAATTCCGGTAAAGTAAATTAAACAGATGTGCAATGATTACTAATTGGGAAATGTAACATTTAATTTTTAAGATTAAAAGTACTATTCTTTTAACTTCATATCTTAACTTTATGCTAATTGCATAGAACGTAACCGAAAATTTTTCCATTTTAATATTGTAACACTTCCGGAATTAAAAAGTTGAATGTTAATTTTCAATTAATTTATACAATTTAATTATTGTTTCTCTGTTGTCATCGGGTATTTCATCTGGGTATATTAAACACGCTATACTCTTTCTGTTAATCCATTCAAAATGACAATATTCACACCTGTGTACACTTGAATTCACACCTGTGTACGCCTGAGACTAAATTGCTGCAAGGTAAAGTTCAAACGAATTCTCCTCAAATCGAGAAATAAACAATGACTTAACAAAATAATATACACACTCTGTTCACAAATATTTTGCATTGAAATGGTTATCAAAGTTATAACGGTAAATAAAACTTCATTATATTTTCAGTTCAATATCAGTAAAAATGTTCTATAGATATTTTATGAAAAAATCTCAATAATTTATGAAATTAATTCGAAAATATTTATATTTAGATAACTTCATATAGGAAGTTTTATTCAATCAATACAAAACGGTACACACATATTCATTTTCTTTCATTCTTATATTGTGGTTATTAACTACGACCAATGGTCATCTGTGCACTTTTAATAAAGTAAAATTCTGATAAGCAATTAAGACTTTAACAGATTTTATTTTTTCCCATGATTCAACAAATCGGGTTAAAACGTCACAACCCAGTGACATAGGTCAACCAAAAAAGTTACAAATACTTGATTTTCTCGGTTATTAGAAAGAATATAAATTTAAAGCTTTGTGAATGTGTTTTTTATGTAAAGATGAACATATTTAGATGATAAGTAAAAAATCGCGGACTTTCCCTTTAAGTAGACTTATATTTGAAGCTTGCAAAATCAAAATATTTCACCAGAAATTTGTTTTTACCATAAGAGAAATAGGTTTAACGACTCAGGATAATTGAATATCACTTGATATCAACTCTTGTTTTTTAGTTTCAATAATGATAATAAACTCACCAAAGGCTTGTTTATTATTATCATATTGAAATTAAATAACTCAAGTTGATATCAATTAAGCCATATCCAATTCTCATTCATTATGAAACCTGTAATTCAAAAATTAATGCATGATGTCTGTATAATGATTATATTTCTATTAGCTATAGAGACATCTAAAGAAGTGATATACCTTATACATAAATCATAAGTAACAGAAGTATTAGACATGTAATGTAACATAGTTCAAATTGGGTTATCTCCCTTTTAACACAAACAAATCTCAACTAAAACTCAAATTCAAATGTAAAACATGTTCCATTGCCCATTTCAAATGCATTATATGTTGTCTGATATATCATATCATTAAGTTAAGTATCACATTTTACTTGTACAGACCCCTCTTATTTTTACATCAATATGTTTTTTTTTCTATTGTTTCTCTAATGTTGTCAAACATGCTTATGTATCATTTTAAAAATTTTATTAAAACAGGCCTTTGTACTAAAAGATAGGTAAAACAGATCAGCAAATGTTGTGAATAAGGAAAAAATATTGATTTCACAATAGCTCTGACTAATCACTTTCAGATGGCAATACGTATGTGGACTATATATTTATTTGTAAGGTCTTAAAGGTGGTAATTAAATGCCATGATTAATTGATTATACTTTTGATTGTAAAGGTTCCACTATCTGGGAACATTTATCTTAAACATATTATGTAAAAACTTGCCCTGAGACTCAATACTTCCATTCCCACAAGCCTCTGAATGCCAGAAGAAAGCTTTCTTCAGATCCTGAGTATCAGCACGTGAGTAATACATCCCTAATATTGTCTGAGCAAGTATGCTGGCTTTAGGATTTCCATCATCAGCAGCCATTAACCAGTACCTAAAAACAATTTGATAAAATTAAATACAAATACAAAAAAAAGATCATATGGTACGATTACCAATGAGACAACTTTCCTCCAAAGACCAAATGTAGCAGAAGAATGTACATTGTAGATTGCAGCTGAGAAATGGAAGGGTAGTAGTTTTGACTTGTTGTTGCACTGTAGTTAAGCAAAGGCATAACTTAGTGAAGTTTAAGACTTGTTTAGCTTTTCTACTGTTTCGTAGCAAGTACAAATAAATTTTATATCTTTCGACAATATATGATTGATTGATTGTTAGTTGCCTAACGTTCAGTGGCAAATATGACAATGAATGATTATTGTTTTTATCCTGCACTATCATATTGACACTAAAAAATGTTTAGTTTTTAATATCCACAGTCATTTAAGCAATTACCATTACATAGACACAGACTGTGTGTGAAAAGACCACCATTATGAAGTGATATAAACAGGAAGTTGAATGTGACAAATCAATTGCCACAGGAGAAGAATATATCTATACGTATATCTCTTCAAGTAAAATGTTAGATTGCAGGATAAAACAGTATTTCTAAAGCCAGTGTTTCAATGCTGTTGCTTTCCATGTAATTGATGGTAAAATAAAATGCCTTAAATCTTATACATGGGGAATAATAAAATTTCCCTGCAAAAACGTTATCAATATACATGATATAAGTACATTAAAACAATGGCCAGAAAAGGGGTAACAGAGAAACTGGCCTTGAGTAAATACTTATGAGTTAAGCCCTTTTCAACTGATTTTTATAATTTGTTCTTATGTTGTGCTTAACACCACAGTCCCAGGTTAGGGGGATAGTTGAGTGTTCACAAACATGTTTAACCCAGCCACATTCTGTATGTACCTGTCCCAAGTCAGGAGCCTGTAGTTCAATTGTTGTCGTTGGTTTATGTCTATCATATTTGTTTTTCGTAAATTGTTTTGTTATAAATTAGGCTGTATAAGTTTTCTCAATTGAATTGTTTCATATTTTTCATGTCATGCCTATGGTAGCTGACTATACGGTATGGGTTTTTCTCATTGTTGAAGGCCCTACGTTTGTCTATAATTGCTTACATCCACTTCATTTGAACTTTGGTGGATAGTTGTCTCATTGGCAATCGTACCACATCTCCTTATTTTTATAAGCTGAGAAAAACCAGATTTCATTACATTTATTGGATTTGTAAACAGAACATGTTTATCTCCCAAGACCTTACCTTTCTGCCTCTTCATCAGACTGTCTTCCAACTCCATATCCTTCAAAAAAAGCTCTCCCTAGATTGAACTGTGCTGCTCTTTTTATGTGTTGTGTTTGTCTGGAATCTGAGTGAGCAATCTTCTTTAAATATTCTACTGCACATTTCTGTAATTTATGTGAAAGGATTCAGCATTATAAATACACAAAATTATAGAATGAAATTGACATATAAATGTGATTTACAAAAATTGTTAGTTAAGGACAATTCAGTCAATATTAAAGCTTATATTAAGCTAAACTTAATTAAAATAACAATGTAGCAATAGCCAAAATTGAAGGATGGCACATTTCTGAGAATTGGAATTTTTTCGTTACATAGTTATCATTAGGAAGTATTTCTTATAAAATCAAAATTCTAAAAGGAATTATTTTGTTACCTCCCTTAAAATTAAATTTATACTGCCAACAGCTAAAATCAAATTTCACTAACTTATATCAATCTTAGATTAAAGTGGAACTATGGAGCAATCTTTTAGATTCATTTTCAATAAGGAAACTTAGTCATCAAAAATTTATTGTGTCATATATCTTAATTTTGTGTAGTATTTTTACCTTTTGAAAAGACTGAAAAAAACATACTTTTGATATTTTTTCTTTGAGGTGGTAGCACGGCAGAATTTTATTGATTTTATACTTATTCAGAATCAATATTATTAGAGAATGAGGCTAGCTATATATATATATAGTGATCTGAAGATTGTTTTGCCAGTAGATATGGAAATTGATTTCTTCAATATACCTAGCTGCAAATTTATATATGGTCTGCAAAAAATATCACAAGGACAATAATAGCTACGATTCAGCAGCTATGATATACCTTGATAATTGATATATTTTGTTAGTCCTTCTTCTGGTAACATCTTGAAGTAATAAACATTTTTTAACTAACAGAAAAAGAGTTTTAGTTCATGAAGGTTAATAAGTAGAATGGCTAGGGAGTTTTTCTTTTAGATAAGCAAACCTATTTGTGAATAATTACTAAAATGCTTGGAATTATTCTTAACAAATGATGAATATACTCAATATAGTATAAGATACCTGCTAATAAATATATGTTAACCTAAATTTTTGTTAAAAAAAAACCAAACTATGTGAATATACTACTTTAGCAAAACCTAATGTAAATTTGTGATTCTATGGTAAAATTGAGAATGGAAACAGGGAATGTGTCAAAGAGACAACAACCCGACCAAAGAGCAGAAAACAGCCCAAGGCCACCAATGGGTCTTCAACACAGAGAGAAAATTCCACATCCGGAGGTGGGCTACAGCTGGCCCCTAAACAAAAATGTATAGTAGTTTTAGTTCTGATAGTTCAAAGTCTAACAGTTTATAAAAACATATCCTAGGAACATTAGTTTGCTTTTAAAGTATCTGACATATTTCAAAACTTGAAAAATGAACAATGAAAATTATGTCAAGGTCAGATGAATTCTGCAATATACATAGGAATCAATGCATATGGGATAGATATATTCAATAATAAACTTAAACATATGTGGAGGGGATAAGTAAAGCTACATGGATGATTTAGTAACTATGATTTAAGTAAAATAAAATGCAAAAACAGTGATAACTCTATATAAGAGATAGTTGGTCTCAGAAAAAATAGCAGGCTTTTAGTGTTATTCATTAAAATAGTATATAATTAAAACTGTTGTCATAACTAACCTTACAGTAATCCTGAAATATTGTAAAAAGTTAACTACAAAATACCCCAAAGAACACCTTTTTTAAATTTTACTTCTTTTCTTAAATTGTTACCATACTTATGAGTTCTCTCTGTTACATGATAGGTTGACAAATAACATTTTTATGATTGATAGATTGGTGTTTGCTTTACACCGTATCAGCATTTTTATGCATTAGATAGTTATTTTTGATACTTTAAATGGGAATGATCAATGGCTATGAGTGTGAAACAGAATTTTTAGCATATGTACTATAGTTACAAATGCACACCAACATCAATCTGCAATAAAATGCATCCAGAATTTTTTTCTGAAATAAGTAATATATATTTGTACAGAATGTATACAATTAATCTGTGAATTAAGTTTATTAAGAAGAATAGAAAAGAACGTTATTGATTGACAAAATACATTAAGATCTGCTGAATTGCACAACTCTTTCTTTGATTTTAGCAATAATGCCCACTAAACTCAGTGTATATTGCATTTTTGAGCTAAATTTACATTTAGCAATCATCAATCAATACCAGATAATTCCAAGCATTGATCTGCAAACAACAGTGTATTGAATTCATTTTTACATATTCGTAACTCGTAAATAATTTTTGATTTTTAAGGAAAAATATTTCCATAACTGTAAATAACAAAAATGAAATGGGAATTTTTTAAAAGGCTTCAAACTCCATTATCCCAATTTTTGTTTCTCTAATTCCTGAATTATTTATATCTTACTTCATCTGCCTCTCCACCGATTCCATCATACAACATACATGATAGCATGTACAGGGACTGGTAATCAAAATCTTTAGATCTCTCAAAATATGTCCTGGCCTTCTCAAACATGTCCTAAAGAAAAACACAGAATTAATTTATAAATAAATCCCAGTCCATTATCCTGTTCTTCATCCAAGTCTTCCTAATCTGCAGGACTTTAAAATTAAATAATTGCTTAATATGTACTAGTTTTGAATATACATGAAATATAAGTCAATGTTAGAAAATTTAAGCAAACAGCAATCTTGTAAACACTGAATTATCTCCCATTTTTGTGATAAATATCATTTTTACTCAAACCTGTTTCTTTTTAGCCCTTCCAAAAAGTTCATAATATAATAAACATAAACATGTGTATTGAGTTTCAAATTGATGTTTTAACATATTTTATTGTCCAAAAACATTGACAATAGGATCAGACACAAGTTTTGCAACTTAGAATGTCTTACAAACTTACCACAACTTCATGGTAAACTAACTTTATCCTGACACAGGAAGGAGGGACTAGCAGACAGACACACACAAAAGAAAACATCAAGACTCCCTATTATCATAGGCAAAGCATAACAAATTGGCAAAAGCAACAGATATATGCCCTGCAGTCTTCATGGAAGGAAATAATGAGTTCCCCTTTTAAAGGAATAACAAATCAGCAATCCAATATCCCTCACAGTTTACAAATATTTTATCTCCCTAATGGCAATATTAACTAAAACATTTTTTTCTTCTTTTTACTTTTTAATAAATATCTTACAATAAATATAAGCATGAGATCAATAACAATTAACAAAATTAACTCTTTGAAAAATAGTTGATTGGCACTGATTTTCAAATTTTTCGGAGGCATTGCTGATATAAAATTTTAATATAGATTTCCTACATATTTGGCAAGAATTGTAAACTTGAGAGCACATACATGCAATTTTCTATAGAATTTACATTTCTAACAGACACAACTCCTGTAAAAATAATTGATCAGCACTATTTTAAAACTTAAATTTGTATCTGAGACATTGCTGATATAAATTTCATAAATATCTGGAATGAATTGTACACTTGAGAGCACTCACAATGCAATTATCTATAGCATTTATATTTCTAAAGGACATAACTTAAAAGATCAGTGCTGATTTTAGATTTTTTCCCAGAGATTGCTGACATAAACCTTCAACATAAATTTCATAACAATCCTACAAGAAATGTAGGCCTTGAGAGTGCTTACAAATTTATGCAATTTTTCATAATTTGTTTGGAACTGGTTTTTGAACTCGTCCAAGACATTGCTGATAAAAACTTTTGATACGAATTTCATAATAAACTGTTAACACAGAAATATGTCTTGCCTTTTTGTTATTTTGATAGTAAAATGCAAATGATGAAGTTAAAATAGCAATACTTTAACATGAAAGTTTGTGACAATATGATGGGCTTAAAATATATATATATATTTATATATATATATATTTATATTTATATTTATGATTATATATTCTCAAAATGTTTATTAAATTGAATAAAATAAATACAGGCGAATATCTATTAAGAAAATCATGACCTTGGGAAAGGTTGTTTTAATTGACCACTACGTTGCATATAACTTTAAAAACATGTTTACATGCAAACCAGATGGTGACATGTTGTAATAACAATTAGTTAAAAGACTGGACATACGTGTATTCTACAACTATCAATTTCCAGCTTGGTCAAAACATGTCAATTAGAGTCAACTTAATAGATATTCATCCATGTACCTTTAGAATTAAAACTATTATTGTCAAATTAATAGAAACTTTGACAAACTGTTATATTCTGTATATATACCTATGTATTTACTGTATGGGGCACATCGGCTCATTTGGCGTAAATAAATAAACTGTTAACTAACTATCTTGTTGTGTTACACAGTCTTTGTGGTGTACCGTGCCAGGACAAATTCTAAAGAAAGGTACAGTGAAATTTTATTTGATAATCTTAATTATTATATTCTCAAAAATGGCTGAACAAGAATTTAATGTAGGGTTAGTTTTTCAAAATTTAGCAACACAAGTTCAAAGTCTTACTCAAAAATTAACTGCAAACGGTGTCAATTCGATAGTTGAAGGCTTTGATGGTTCAAATTCAGAAAAATATTCTCAATGGATTCGATCCATAGAAAAATATGCAATGATTACCAATTTAAATCCGAACGATTGTAAAATGGTATGTTATCAAACTTCTGTAGGGCCAGTAAGTGACTTCATTGCTAGGTGGTTAAGAGAAACAGATGCCGGAAATAACAGTTGGGATAATCTAAAAACTCAATTGAATTTTCGTTATGGGCATATTCCTGATGCATCATATGCATTTGAACTTCTGAATAAGGTTCATCAGAAAGTTGGCGAAAATGTTCCCATATTTGGAGAACGAATTTTAACTTTAGCAACAGATGCTTTTAGAGGGCAAGATATCAATCAACCAATTGTTCAACTTCAATTAGTTAACTTTTTCATAAACGGGTTGTATCAAGATTATTTGAGAATGAAAATAATGCGTGAAAATCCACAAACTTTGGCTCAAGCAGTAAACTCGGCAATGGCTGAAACGCAATTAAGACGAAAATTTGACTTGAAAAAAAGTAACGGTAATGAGCGTAATATTACACCAATGGACGTATCACATTACCGAGAAATAGGTGTAAAATGTAACTATTGTAAGCGATTTGGCCATAAGGCAAAATATTGTAGGGATAATAATGCAAAATTTCATGTAAACACAGTAAGTTCGCGTGCCGAATTACATGTGCCCCGAAGGAATTTTAATGACAACACGCTAAGTAATAATGTAAATTCATATCCTCCTAGAAGGTTTAATTCTGTCCAAAATAAACCTAACTTAACAGGACAATCAAGAGGAACATTCTTCTGTTGGAATTGTGGTAAACCAGGTCATTATCAAAGAAATTGTAGAGCAAGACCAAATGAACAATTCGGGAAACCAAGGGAAAATTTAAACTAAGACGGTCTCTTTATGCTGAAGCCAATAGGGAGACTTTTAAGGGAATAAGGGGAAATAAGATGTTTGAGAGAAAAATTAATTATGGAAATACAAAACCTGTATATAATATATATGAATCATGGTTAAAAAAATTAAATAACAAATCAACAAACTTTAATAATGCATGTTCTAACAATTTTACCTATCACTGGAATCAAAGTTATTATAAACATTCTAACGATCGTAATTCAAAACCGGAAGTAAACAAAGTAAAAATGGCGCGAAATTTTAATTCAAAACCGGAAGTAAACAAAGTAAAAATGGCGCGAAATTTTAATTCAAAACCGGAAGTAAACAAAGTAAAAATGGTGCGAAATTTTAATTCAAACCGGAAGTAAACGAAGTACAAATGGCGCGAAATTCAAAATTTAACAGAAATAAAGTAGTTAGAGCGCGAAATTCAAACGTACAAAATAGAAACATTGAAATTTATCATGAACAAATACCTTTGGGTAACATAACCGAAAACATAACTCAAAGTGAAACTGATCAAGTCGAAACTTATGAAATTAATTTGGCGGGAAATCCAAATTCTTGTTTGATTAAAATAGCACATATGAAAGTTAGAAGTTTAATTGACAGTGGAGCTTCAGTATCTTTATTGCATAATAAAATTTACAATTCAATTAAAGGATTACCAAAATTAGAAAAAAGAAAAGTCAATTTACAAGGAGTTAACGGGGCTTCTTTAAATGTTTTGGGAAGTATAAATTTAGACTTTAACATGAAAGGAAACAAAATGAATCATACCTTTTATGTGGTATCTGACATGAACAGAAATGCAATTTTGGGCCGTGATTGGTTAGTTAAATTTGGTGTTAGAGTTTATTTTGATTTGGGGTGTTTAAGGGTAAATAAAACTTATGTACCATTAGTAGAAGATATTCACATAGCTTCAATTGTTAGACTTGCTCGTACCACTGTCTTTAAACCTCAGACTAGCAATATCTGTTATGTAAAAGGTAATAAAAATTATACCTTTTCAAGTTCTAAATCTTTTGAAATTTCACCAATTACTAAGGGGCATTTGAGTTCTCAACCAGGTTTAATGGTTGCTAATTCAGTTGCAAAGATTAATGAAAAACGTCAAATGCCAGTTCTTATAGTTAATACTACGAATAGAACTTATAAATTTAGAAGGGGCATAGCAATAGGCAGGGCTTCACCGGTTTTAGAAGAAAATGTTGTCTCACTTGAATCTACTCAAGAACACTCTGAAATTGAGAATGTTTTTGAAACTGATCTTAATGTTCCTGATGCTTATAGGGGTAGGGTGTTACAAATATTGAACAATAATAGAGATGTTTTTGCTTTTAAGGATACTGAATTAGGTCAAACTGACACTGTAAAAATGAGGATTGACACGGGTGATAATCCCCTGGTTAAATTGAAACCATATAGAACTCCATTACATAAAAGGGAAATAGTCAATAAGGCAATAACTGACATGTTAGAAGCAAACATTATTCGAAGGTCTAACAGTAATTATTCGTCACCAGTAGTATTAGTGGATAAAAAGGATAAAACCACACGTTTCTGTATTGATTTCAGAAATTTAAACTCTAATACATTAGCGATCCGATATCCGTTACCGGTTATCGACGATATATTGACCCTTTTAGGGGCTGCAAAGTTCTACAGCCTAATCGATCTTCGCAGTGGATTTTGGCAAGTCCAGATGGCAGACGAAGATAAATCAAAAACAGCATTTGTTTGTCATCGAGGATTGTTTGAATTTAATGTTATGCCATTTGGGTTACAAAATAGTCCTGCTGTATTTAGTCAATTGATGGAGATAGTCTTACAAGACCTAAAATTTGCTATCTCGTATATAGATGATATTTTGATATTTTCTGAAACTCTAGAAGAACATTTTGATCATATTCAGCAAGTATTTGATAGATTAAGGCAACATAATTTGAAGTTGAAATTAAAGAAATGTCAATTTTTACAGAAAGAAACCAATTATTTAGGATTTAAAATCAATATCGACGGTGTAAAACCGGACGATGGCAAAGTCGAAGCAATTAAAACTTTAC